GAAGCTTAGGTTACAGCACCTAGGACTGAGGGACATTATCGCTCTCATGCAAATCATGTACATTGTGACGTGCTTCAAAATGATCACTTCAACCCAGCTATTGGAAAGGAAGAAGCTTGCAGTGACAGATGTTGCAGAACTTCCACAGGAGGTGGTTTAACCCATGTACTTCCATCATGGAAAACTAAACCCAATCAGAGGATTAACAACCAGCGATCTCTACTGGACAGAAGTGTGATGCAACCACCCTGGTCTAGTTGGTCAGGGCTATGCAGGTTCACTCATGGATTACATACTGCAATAAGGCCAGTTCATTGAATATGTGCTGTAGCAAGATCCACCAATGGGGTATGTGCTATTACACAAATACTTCACAACTGCAATGATTTATCATGGGATACATGGCACAGCCAATGACTCTGCCTGAACATTGTCCAGGATAGGAAGAGTGAAGCATCATCTTTGTAGAGCACTGGCAAACTAATTACCTGCACTTTGCAACACAGCAAAAACGGCAGTTATTAGTTCCAAACAATGGCTCAGCAAATGCCCACCAAACCAAATATCAGCAATTTGTTAAGCTGCAACATAGGCAAGAATATTGATAGTAAACATCAGATCAGCAGGTCTAGGATGACCAGCAACTAGCAGTAAAAGTTGTGGCAAATGCTTTGGAAACTAATGTAGCCCAGTTTAGGCCTGGTCATCAGTTTCAGGAACCATAGTGGACAGCTTGCATCAAAACGTTTAATGGTCATACCAGCTCTGCCAGGAATGGGTATAGATTGGTATGTGCTAATAAAAGTACATGGGCAAGAGGTTGAGTTTCTGGTAGACACATAAATGGCAAGAACCCTAATGGACCTTGCAGTTTTTCAAGCCCTCTGTGTGGGTCCACCACTATCGCCAGTGAAGATTGACTTTGTTCTGACAAAATGAAATAGACTAGCCATTAAAGGAGAAGTGGATCTCTGATTCATTCTATAAGTGGTTGTCCACAGAGCAAAGGTAGTCATTTCCAATCTCACATCTGGAATTGGCATTGGATGGATGTACTGTGAAGTATGTCCATCAGTTTCTCTCATGCAATGGGTGAACTGCCACGGGAAAGTCATCCAATGCTACTCATATTGAGCTCAGGAGCAGTAAACTGCATGAGTATATGTAGCAAATGGAATAATAGCACCTCCATGTATACAGGTGATGTTCCATAGTTTAATATGGACAAAGTCTAAAGCACCCATGCTCTGTAATGAGGTTATAGAAAGCACATACGAAATAAACTTTTTCTATCTAGAAAGCCAGCAGCTTTAACTCAGGCAGTGATCCATTCAATAAAGGATGAAGTCCTAGTTTTGATTTGTAATTATGGATGATTGGCTATTCAGCTAGATGTTGGAATGGTTCTTGGCATGGTGAGTGCAGTAGAAGTAACTAACACTAGTTATAATGCTAGGGTTGCATCATCACCCTAAAGCAAATATGAGGCTGCTTACATACCTGGGGTCATTTGTTAACAATTGCACTAACAAGCTAGACCTAACACGGTGAAAACAACTCAGTGACTTTTTGGGTGAATATGTCAATATGTTTGTGGAACCAGATGGGAGACGGGTAGAACAATGGTGACTCATAGCACATTCGATAAAGCAACAACAGTGTGCTGATTTCCTTGGAGCACTAGGGAGGTGTAAACACCAAAGTACAGCAGGTGCTGCAGGATAGAATCATACAGCATTCAAATAGTGCTTGGTCATCTCCAGTAATGATTGCCATAAAGGATCCTTAGGTATGACAAGGTTCTTTGTAGACTTCTGATGAGTGAATGCAGTAACCCATGTTCATGCCTTCTCTTCACTGCAGACAGATATGTGTCTGGATGCATTGGAAATCTTTTGTCAGTTTATTGTCTGGGTAGATAATGTCTTGCTGAAGTGGTTAGTAAACTTTAAAAATCTGGAATGGATGAGAGCATGTTGGATAACAACATTGAAATAATGTCTTTGTGATAGTTAATCACTTGGACCCATACATAAATATGCATGGACTATCTCAACACATGGTGAGAAGACCTTGTCCATTCATGGAAAGTTCTGATCCTAGGAACCATGTGGGAATTAAGATCATGACTGTTTCAGCCATAGCAAAGTGCTGACCATGAATTAATCGACTACTGAAGGATGGATGCTAAAGTTCATTATTCAGAATCACTGAGATGAATAACTGAAGAACCCTGGCCTAGTGTTGGCATTTCCTTCTGTCCAGCAAAGTCAAAACTGATCAGCACTAGTAGAGGAGTGTAACACAGAGGTACATAACCTGTGGCACTTGTGCAGGCAGTTAAAAGTTCAAGAAGGTGTACTGTGCCATTGCTATCAGCCCACAAAGCATGCTACTCCAACAGTGCTGCACTTAGTAATCCCCAGAACTCTGTGGCAAAAAAAAAACACTCCAGGCTTTGAACAACACAAAGATCACAGAAAACCAAGGTGTAACCTACTCTTGTGCTAATATTAAATGGTGGTTCTTGTAGACATGAACAAGTTGAACTGTTCAGTAATGGTGTGAACACTGTATGGTGTGTGTGCAACCCAGAGGAAAAACCAGCAAAGACAGGGTAAACGTCAACAGATAATTGTTGAGTTTCTTCTATATAGAATAGTCCTGGATATGCTGGTCCGCTCTCAGAGACCGTGGAAGGTCAATGCTACACACTAATCCTCATCAGCTAGTTCACGAAGTAGGGTGAAGCTTAGTCATTGGTCAATATTCTAATCACATACCATCAAAAGCGTGTTACCAAAATCTTGATAGCACTATTTGGAACACCAAAATAAATCCACACAGACTAGGAAGCTAACTTCAACAACAGGCAACTGTTCATTGATAACATTTTGCAACTGTATTCAATTTTAAAGGCAAGGAAGGTCAGGTAGTTCAAAGGTTACTTTCTGAAAGGGGTGCCAGGACCTCTTGCTTTCCAACCCAACAAGTAGTATTAGAAGTACAGTGTATGCACTACATAAGAGAGTTACTGCTTGGTCATGACAGTTAGAACAGTCTCTGATTTACATGATCATGGGCTGAAAGGAAGTGGCATTCTTTGCTTTCCAAGTTATAGTGATGTTGAGATACAATCTATGTACTACACTGTAAAAGTATTACTCGACTGTCAACAGTTAGGACATCATGTGATTGAAAGAGCATTGTAAACCTTTGCTTTCTAAGGCTTAGAGTGAATTTTCTGTTGCAAAACATTGTTCAATGTTTCCAGAAAATCATTTCGACAATCTAGCTAAGTGGTGAGAACTGTACAGAACATAACACTCAGTAACCTCTAGATTTTTCATTGATGTTTTGACCTACATTGGAAAATATGCCAGATATACAATCACCAAAGGAGCTCAACTCTTTCAGTGTGTGTCTTAGAGTACAGTCGCAACATCATGAATTTTAATCTTGGCAAATACACTTTTAATTCAAAAGTCTTGAATTTTACTAGTGCCTACCCATTTTGTGAAGCCTGAAATAAAAATTAGCTGAATTTGATTGCCCCTAGATGACACTCCTATTGTTACTGGGTGTAACTTTGGCAGGTAACTTGAAAGTGATTCATGCAGTAGCTGGAGGCAAATAGTAAGAACTAATAAAATATTTGGTATAAATATGACAATATAGTATATAAATAAGTATGTATGCGTGGCATCATTTATGTTTTAAATAAATTCAAACAAATGAAGAAAAACATAGAGAGAGAATGGTAATAAATAAGAAGATAGGAAGGAAATAAGAAGCAATAATGAGAGCATGAAGACAAAGGATTCGATTGTGATGTTAAAAATTGATGATATACGAGATTAACCGAGATGAATTACATGAAAAGTATTATTGGAAAACACAGTGTGCCTGCAATTTTCATTAATGCTAAGAAATGATTCAATTTCAACATGGAGACATATTTCAAGTGTTGAATTTTTCATGGAAGATATTAGAGTAACAAAGAGTCTCATGTTATGACAAGAGATATTTTTTGTTGATTAGCACAATTAGCCGAATTTTAGCATCATAAGTCCAGAGACAGCTGAGCCACTGTGTGTGGTGGGGGGGGGGGGCAGGAGAGATAGAAAAGTTTTATATATATTTAAGCTTGATGAAACTGAAATATTAATGAGTAGATGAAGTTGCCAGTAATACATGACATTCACAGCTAATATATATACTTGGTGTATATAGTGTTTTGTTTGTGATAGGAATATTTTCAGTCAGTTTTACTGAATATTTTTTTAGTGTTGTTGCATTACAATGTATAGTTTTGAAGCATGAAAATGCAGGCTGTAAATGTAACAAGGAGGGGTATAGGGTACCACCCAAGTGGCGAAGACCTGTAATTTGTGCCATAACTGTTACTTTTAGACAAGTTGTCAATGGAAGAAAGTCCCTAAGAAAGGACAAGGAAAATGTTAGGAAGGAGGTTAGATTAGATCGCCTAAACCGAATAACAACAATACACAAAGACCGCATAACGATGGTGAAAAAATTGAAATCAAATCAACACAAAGCTCTCAATACATCTTCATCACGACAGACCAAAAGTATAAATGAAAACGCATTGATAGTTAGAGGTAAAATATCTTCAATATTTCTGTTCGCGCTAGTAGTAATAATAGGTTGGCAAACAACGATTTATAAGCCTAAGGAAGAGTTCTATTGATGGTGTAACACCAACCTAAAACTAAATGTTTCGTCCTTATACCTGTAATATAAATCGTCGTTTGCCTACCTATAATGTGTTTCATTACTCAAGTACTAGCAGTAGTAGTAATAAAACAAGAAACTAATATAAGCTAAAATTAAAAATGGACACTGTAATTGTGATATGAAAAAGTTCCCATTTTCGGTTATTATTTATATCACAAAAGTATCTAATTTTATGAAGATATTCTCATAAAACTAACGTTACTGAATAACTTGTTGGAAATAAACCCAAGATAAAGACTTACCTAGTCGTTTATGGTTCCGAACACGCCTGATAAGAAGTAGAATCACCAGACAAAACAACAAGACTATCCCTAACCCCAAGCCCACAAACACTGTACTTGAGTCAATGCTGTTGAGTTTAACAGATAAATTCTGTATTGCTGAAGGTACTGGTAAGACTTTTGAACTTTTTGATTCCATATTGTAAAATAGGAACTTTAACTAACTCGAAATATCTTGATAATAAAACGCAAAACAAAATCTTAAGAAGTACGCCAATGTTTTAGTTATGCTCGTACCAAGCACACGAAGCAGGCTGTGAACCGAAGTCTGGTTGCAGTAAAAGCATTTCTTACACAAGCTACAGTGTACAGTATCGTCCCAAATGTTTATTGCCTCAGGAGACAGAAAGGCCTTCACACGCTTGGGCAGTCACGAAACCCGTGTAGTTGTATAGGGATTGAGCAGTCTGAAGGAGATGGGCGGGCAATGAAGGAACGCTATTTGAAAGTTAGTGATTTGGGTTGATTTCTCAGTGTTAGAGTATTGTCCTACATCAGTACATGCACAAAACTCAAGAATGAGCTCGAGCATATCCAGAGAGTTTGAATAATAACTCTCTCTAGCTCAATGGCGAAGGTACGGGTATGCAGTGCGCGACCTATAATAAATAACTGTCCTTAATCTTGGTAGTTACTTAAAACCCGTAACAAGATTTTTGTAATAAAATATGACGACGTTAAGAACTTTGTATTTTGAAGCTGAATTTGAACGAATTTATTTTATCTGTTTGTCACCTAATCTGACTACTCCCCCATGTTGTAATTATTTTTTTGCATAAGCAAATATTTTTTCATATTCACACAGTAATGTGTAGAGGACACTAGAAGGGCAGGGGCTCATTGAAAAGGACAAAAAAAAAGCACTTCTCTAGCATCTTAAGGCAAGCGTGTGTGAGAGTTAGAGGAGACTGTAGATTCCCTCTGGTAAACATAAGGTATAAACCATAGAAGCAAACAGAACCTCTTTTATTCCTATTCAGTTGGCCTTAGAAACACTTCCACCATCTAAAACTAAGCAGTGAGTTATTGCGTATTAATACTTAATAGCATGTCAAAATGATTTTTTTACCTGCAAGTCTCTTTGTGCCATTCATTTTAACGCTGAAATTATATATATATATATATATATACACACATACACATAATATATATATTTTTTTTTCTAAAAATTCGCAGCAAGCAAGGTGTGGAATCAGGTATGCCTTTTCTTAGTTGTTGACAATTTTTATGACAGAGAAAAAAGGGCACTTCGGGGACATAAAGGCAGGGGCTTGAGTTCACAAAGCCACCCCAACCCCCATGCACGCCACTGTATCTGTACCACTCATTCCTTGTGATATGAAGTTGGCAAATCATTAAGAGAGGGTTTGTAATCTAGAACTTACACGTAAAGTTACTCAAGGGCTATCTGCGTATAGCCATTTGAACTGTTAGACTGGGGAGAAGGCAGATAGACAACAAAACCAACCATCAACTCGTGGGCTACTGTTGTCTAACCGAAAAGCAGGATTTGATCATAACTCTTATAACGCACCCACGGCCCTATAGTGCGGTGCATTATTTAAAGCAACAAGAAACGAATCGTTAATCGTTAGATTCAAAGTCTGGGCACGCTAATTTCTAGGCCATACTCGTCATTATTAAGTGAGTGAGTTTGCGTTTTCTCCTCAGTTGTTATTTTTTATATTTAGAGCATGTTCGAATATTCGCTGGTACTGACTGTTTGTAAAAACTAGTGAATCCAATTTAATACAATGAAAGGCCTTTTTTTTTGCTAGTAAACTAATATAAAATCATTTACCCAGAAGAAAGTAAAAGTTGAATTCGATAACAAAACGTAATCAGAACCAACTGTTAAAGAAACTTCATATCCTCCCCCGACATACACACATATTGTAACTAATTTTCCTTTCAAGGTTAAGTCGAATTTGTCAGGAAGGTTCCAGAAAAGCATGGCCTCATAATATTCAGTTATGATTTTCATTGTTTCAGAATTTCACCTGAATGCTTACAACAGAATCAGCTGAGGATCATGAGAACTTATCTATACACAAACATCTTAATACCACGTTCCTCTTCACTCACAAAAAAAGGAACTTCCTCGGACCTGTCTGAGGATAGTCTTGCTTTGGATGCCGGTTTTCACGTGTATAATCCTATTTTTGCATCTTATGAGGTCGGGATTAAACCAAAAATCTTTCGAACGCAGGGAAGGTGTTCTAGCAACCGAGTTAAATAACTATACCACTAGCTATTATTAATAAGACATTTTTATAATAGTTGAACTTACATGTCGTTGTTGTCTTCGTGGAATTTCAATGTGTTTCCAATGCTACATTTAGTGTTTAATAGCTATAACTTTAACGTCCTGAAACAAAACCGAAACATTTTTCTTTACTATAAATGTCCAAATGATAAAGGTAAAACCTCTGGTCTTTAATTGTTAAGTTGACCTGACTATACACATAAGGTTTGTGACTTTTTCGTGTAGAATGTAAACTGTGGTTTGACTTACTTTGTTAGATCACAGCTTTATTATAGTTTGCATTTTCCGTGTTCAACTACGAATTGTATAGTATAAATAGACAACTTTACTACGAGTTTTTGGATACAATAATGAGAGTTCTTAGAGGACAAAAAGACGAAATGTATTCTGGGATCTGGGGAAAGAACAGCAACAAAAACAAAAACTGAATATGATGATGAATTTTGACGAACGAAGGCAATAAATACGAAATACAAAGAACAATTTAAGGGGTAAAGGTAAAAACATTGATGTGAACGTAACAGAAATAGTTGTATATTGGTGAATCACAGTAAAGGATTTTAAGGGGCAAAAGTAAAAACATTGATGTGAACGTTACAGAAATAGTTGTATATTGGTGAATTACAGTAAAGGATTTTAAGGGGCAAAAGTAAAAACATTGATGTGAATGTAACAGAAATAGTCGTATGTTGGTTAAATACAGCAAAAGATTTCAAGCGACAAAGACTTTTATGAATATAATATGAATGTGAAAACAATGTTTCATATGTTAAGGTACCATCTTATTTTGTTTTTCCATATCAATGATCACTTAATATAGTTTTCCTGTATAAAGTTTTAAAGACTCTGCCCCACTACCATGTTTCAGCGATTTAAATATTTATTTCCACACTTGAGAAAAACATTAGGGACACATACATACATTCATATATATATATATATTATATGTTAATATATCAACCCACTGTAGAATCAACAAGCTTTTTTGAAGTAAACATCTAGATTTTAAATATATAATTTCATACAGTAAACATTCTGATGTAAATAATCAAATTCAACAATGGTCATCCGCATTCACATAGCAGGCATTTCATATAAATATTAATTACAACTTAGCTTACGACTATATACACATAATATTGTGTTGTAACATTGACAAGCATTGTAAAAATAGCGTGATCAAAATTTTTAAAGTACAAAAATGATTTAAAATATGTACAGTATAGAAAAACAAATAACAAATCTACAGGCCAATAACGAAAACAAAAATAATGATAAAAGCACTTTCATTTCTATTACTTGTAGCTGGAAGAAACTGGGTTGTCCGAAATGGCAAAATAAAAACAAAAATAATACAACTAATCATAATCTGGCAGGAATAACACGTAACTTATTTTACTATATATTAAAGCAAGGCGCCAATGCGGTCAGAATTTGTAATGTGAAAATATTTACGGTTTTGATGTTAATTATACCAAAGGCTTACGGTTTTGATATCAATCTTACAAAATGCTTATGGTTTTGATGTTAATCCTGGAAAATGTTTACGGTTTTGATGTTAATCTAACAAAAGGCTTACGGTTTGATCTTAATCCTGGAAAATGTTTATTGTTTTGATGTTACTCCTGGTAATTTTTACGGTTTTGATGTTAATCATACCAAAGGCTTACGATTTTGATATTAATCTTACAAAATGCTTATGGCTTTGATATTAATCCTAGAAAATGTTTACTATTTTGATGTTAATCTTACAAAAGGCTCACGGTTTTGATATTAATCCTGGAATATGTTTACGGTTTTGATGTTAATCGTGAAAAAGGTTTACGGCTTTGATATTAATCCTGGAATATGTTTACGGTTTTGATGTTAATCTTACAAAAGGCTCACGGTTTTGATATTAATCCTGGAATATGTTTACGGTTTTGATGTTAATCGTGAAAAAGGTTTACGGCTTTGATATTAATCCTGGAATATGTTTACGGCTTTGATGTTAATCCTGAAAATTTTTAACTCATGGATGTTCAGTATAATTCAAATAACATCAAATAAACGTCTGTTAATGTTACACTATTGCACAAAGTGTTAGTTCTCTAGCTCTCACGTTCATCATTTGTTTTTAGTTTCTTTCTGATTTACAAAATAGAACACCCTGGTGGCTCAAGCAATAAACTTGAGTGATTCTATGCCTTTGCGTTTAAAAACAAATGAACAAGTCTGAAAAATAGAATATTTTATCGTGACACCAGAGCCCTAATGGAGAGCTTTAGCTATCGGTTTTGATAAACAAAACTGTTGTAAACTGAGGATTTTTCTTAGTTTATCAGAATGGTTTTTAGATTTTAGAAGCGCCTTTGGAAATAATTTCTTCATTGTCGATCGTGCTCACTCTGATAGGCCTAATTACGTGTTCTTGTTATCATTTCATTGTTATTCATAGCATTATCAATGTTAAAAATACTGTTTGCAAATGTTAATAAATATATTTGAGCAAAGGTAATTAACCTTGAAGTAAAAGTAATGCTATTGACTTAGTAAAAATATGTAGATATGGAAGTTTGGAATACTTAACTCTGTACATCGGGAGATACACAAAAGCCATCAAGTCCTGAGTTAGGAGGATACATAAAATCCAACACGTCTTGAGCTAAGAGGATATATATAAAACCTAACAAGTCCTGAGCTAGGAGGATACATAAAATCCAACAAGTCCTGAGCTAGGACGACACATAAAAATCCAACAAGTACTGAGCTAGGAGGATACATAAAATCCAACAAGTCCTGATATAAAGGGAGGGTTAGAAAATAAGTCGCCCCATACATAGAGGGTCATTTTTTAAAATGTGGAACAATCATATGTACCCCATAAATATACGGAGTTAACGGCCCAGGGACGAATGCGACAATACCGTAGTGTGAACAGCCTCATTATGTGTTCCACTCCAATTCGATTTGATTGTATCGATTAAGTTGCATTCTTTCATCACACTGTTACTTGTGAGATTGACATTTTCTTTATGTCCAAGCTGTACGAGGAAGTATTGAGATCCTCATACACACTTACCTAACACATATGTGAGTTTATGTAGGTATCGAGATCCTCACACACACACTTACTTAACACATATGTGAGTTTATGTAGGTATCGAGATCCTCATACACTTACCTAAAACATATATGAGTTCATGAAGCCTAGCCTTATCTGTCCTTACAATAATAAATC